GTTGACAGCACAGACACATCTCACGAAATCACAGCTTGACAAGAGGTGGGAGAATGACATGAGGTAAGGCCTTAGGCTTTTATAGAAAGAACTAGGGAATCGATATTTAATTACAGTAGAACTGTAGTGAAGCTCCATTATTGAAAACCTCTCACCGAGTTGATACAATATCTTTTATCAAAAGAAACCCAATAATAGACCTACATTGACCTACACACCAATATTTCCCCACTTTATGGTCAAGAGGAAGAAAGATCAGAAAAAACAGACAAGGAATTAAGATATCTTTTCACTCCATTTCAGTTACCAAATTGCTATGAGTCTTCAAACTAGTCGTGTGGCTCACTCTTGGGCTCCTACCTAATGCAGACCAATAGTTCTTTAACAGGATCAGAAAAAGGTTTCAAGAGCTGTGGATGGAATGCAGCAGGAAAGTCCTCTATGTTATAAGCAGTCCAGCATTGTGTCCTGGTGATACTTATTTACTGTTCTGGAGAACACAGAAGATGAAAGAACTTTTCTGCATGAATACTTTATGATGACACCAAATCACCCTGTAGCTCTTGTGACATCAGCATTAGCCTGAGGGAGATGAATGGGAGTGTTGTGGTTTTCCTAATAATAAAACAAACCAAACCCATACCTGGGACACAGACACTTCACAGAGACATTGCTGCCTTCCCCCAGGGGAGTGATGCATATTCTCTGGATGCTGTTTTACTGTTGCATAAAGCTGTATGAGGAAACAAACACTGGGAACAGTGACATGAATCCTCAGCTAAACCTGTGACAGTTGGGACATCTGGCAAATGGGGTTGAAGAGGATAAAATTAAACAGAGCCAGAAACACCTAAGGATCCTCTACAAGGAAGCTCTGCTGTCACTCATTTTCTCGAGGGAGCAGGTCAGAGCCCTCAGGTAGAGGTGGGAGAGAGCAAGGGCCATGACTGCACAGTTAGAGACACAAGCAACACTAGGTCCCACTAGCCAAGCATAGAGAGAAAGGAAAGTGAGGGCAACTGGAGAAACTGGGAGGGTTAGAGCTTAGGCACCTCTTCTTGGAGGGACAGAGTATTATTTACAGTCATTTCAGCAAAAACAAGTAAGGTTCTGTCCAACTAGCAACCAGTAGAGCATATGGAGCTCACCACTGCCCTGACAGAGGGCTTGGGCAGGGATAGAAACGCTCCTGATTAAACAAGGCAGATGAGAGGAGGCTGTGAGCTAACTCAGATCCTGACAGCTCAACTCTAAGGGCAGCTGGGAAGGGAACAGCAGGTACCTGTTCTCAACACCTACATGCAATAAGCTGAAGGTGATAACCTTCAGGATATAAATGTCTCAATAACAGAGGCTGCCACTTCACCCTGTCTCAGACTGTCTGAGAAGGACTGAATGCTTTGCCTGCACTAAACCAGAGGTTATCTCCAGGAGAGGGCAGACACTTCAGCCATACCTACTTCAAGCTTTACCAATTACAGATTTAATCACAAGATTTAAACAGGCCTCACCTCACAAAGCTGACAAATCTACTACCTTCAGTATTACTAAAGCCAGTACTGTGCTAGTCATGGAAATGAACTGTGCTCCACAAGACAAATACTCTATCCAGGCCTGTACAAAGGCCAGCTGGTAAACAAGAACAGCAAGATCAGTCCCCAGCATCTCTGAGTTTGCCAATCCAGCCCCTGTGAAACCGAGCTGCAACAGCAAGAGCTGTCCTGCAGGGCTCTGAACAGCCACCAGCCAGCAGCACCCTCATGTGACACACGCCTGCAGCTCTCAAGCAGTTAATCCCCCTGAAATCCAAGAGCTGCGTTTGTCACTGCAGCACGTCCCAGGCATGAGCAGACCTGGGCAAAAACCAGATTCCCTGAAGGTGCCCCCTCTACCTGATGTGGCCAAGCTCCTGTTGGGTGCTCCGCAGTTCCAGCCTGAGTTTGTCTGAATTCTAAAACTTGCTTTGTGGCTAGCACCTGAGAAAGGGGACAATCACTTCCAAGCATGTCCCAGAGGCAGCCTCTGATACAGCACACCAGCATTAAGCCCTGCGGAAAAATCATGTCCAGATGAGGCCAGAAAAATGGAGAAGATAGGAGAGAGCTGGATGTAGAACATGCCACCACTGCTGAACACTTCATGTTTCCTGCAGCAAAGGTAATGCTTGGTTTCTGTCTATGCTTCTGGGTTCAGACCACAGTACCTGGCATACCATACCTGCCTAGCCCCAGCAGGAATTAAAGGTTTTCTACAGGTGGAATAGCAGAGTTCTGCCCACAGTGCCCACCCTACAGTACAGTTGAGAGCATGCTTCCACCTCCACTTGGGAAGCAAATTACAAACCCTGGCTGTGCAAGATCTTCCTGCAGCACAGGGTTTTTAGAAGAATGGTAACATGCTGCTTGGTGCGAAAGATATAGGCCAGTTGCCAGCCCTACTCTCATTTCAGCCATTACCCCTCAGCTCTGTCCATTTACTATTCTTCTCCCATCAAGTCTTTTCTGATTATCCCTTTTGCAAAGGTCATCTACTTCTGCAACAACTGAAAGAATGATTTCATTCTGGCTGCAGTAGGATCTGTTCTATCAGAATACATACAAACACTTATCTTTTCCCCCCACTTAGTACCTAGTTTGAAGATACCTTTCTAACTGCCCTCCATCATTCAGCACTGGAACAGGAAGGCCTGTGAGGCAGGAAAGGCATTCGCAGAGCACCCAGAACATTGTAGCACCACAATTCTAGTGCTACTGCAATTCTTAATAAGGAATCCTTCCTCTGTTGCAGGCAGCAACAGCATTTTTCACTCTGGCTACTATTCATTAAACTCTTCATGCATCAGTTTCAACACTCAGGTCTCCTCCACAGATCCCAGTAGCAAAGCTTGCTCATTCCAACAGTAGGTCTGCCATGGGCCATCAAACCATCCAGTGCCAGATCTTGGATGGAAGAGGTGTGACTATAAAGCAGCCCACCTTGCAGCGTTGACTTTGAGTTCTCTTAACTAGATCAGTTGCAGACATCAGGCTCAGTAGTTCTTCCTCTTGTTGAGCTGTGCAGCAAACCAACTTGACCTCACACAGACCCAGAGAAAGGCTCTGGCTAACCTGCATCCTGCACCTGATTTTCCATCTATTGCCAGGCAAAACCTTACAGAACTCTATCCACCCACATCTCTCCCAAGGCAAAGGGTGGATTTAGAGGCTGCAGGCAAGCCCCACGCATATTCTCCTCCCACAGCTCTCCCAAAGCACAGCATGGAGTCACAGCTTGCCAGCCCTGTGTATTCTTTACTTCTCCAGCGCTGACTGTTCAGCAGTGTTCTCTGGTTTCATTTTCCCAGAGATCCTCAACTATAATAAACCATAATGAACACTACAGTGCTTCCCATGGGGGTTGATTCTGCTGGACCACTTGGGCAGCAGCGAGTTGTCCTGTGCAGAATCAGAGTTCTGACCATGCAAGGAGCAGGACACACCACCACTCACTGACTTTATGCTGCGGTTGCTGCAAGTCTTTCCTCACACATTTATCTATTTGTCACAATAGTTTTTCGCTGCTTAAAGGAAGTGGCAAAAGTTACATTTTCCTCTGGTTCCCTGCACCAACCCTGGATCTACAAAGGTCTTAGCACTGACATCTCATTTATTTCTTGTGGACTGTTGGCATTGGGATACAAATGAGATGTGCAATCTCCATACTGTTGGGAAGCACTTGTTCGCTATAGTATTCATCTTTTAACTCCTCTGTCCTTGTCAAGAACTTCAGGCTGCTTTACAATCACTGAGCATCCTTCCTCTGTAACAGCAAACAGGACAGGCAGGAGGTGTAAGGTCCTAGCATAGCTCTTCATTTGCTGGGACAAAAGGGATACGAATAGGATCAAGGAACACCCAGTAAGATGGTTTTAAGGTTCAGTCCCATACCAATCCCCAAGAGTGACAGAGTATCCCAAGAATTCCCCTCTGTCACTATGTGATATGCTCAGCAGACCACAGGATCCCTATCTTACTGGACCAATATATTCAGACAGAAAAACAGGCAAGATGCCCATTAAAAATACATATATTTGACCTAACCACCCTCAGAGGCTTCCTAGACAAGAAGTGACCTGTGTGCAAGGCTCCTGTAGCCATCAGAGCTTCAGTTCCAGGGCCTTTACCTTCACTACATTCTAGCTTCCTGATCTGCTCCTGCTGGAGCTCTTTCTCCTGCTTTAGTCAATTCACAGATGAGTGATCCAAAGATCTGAGCAGATGGGCAAAACCAGATTTGGTATGAGAACGACTCCAGGAAAGAACAGCCAGCAGGCTGGTTCAACTTCGGGAGCTGGGAATACTGGGAGACACAGAGAGAAATAAACCTTAAATCTTACAAGGGATGCTTCTGCCTCCTCCTGCAGAGGAGTGTAAGAAACAGCTCTTGGGGTTCTAGAAGATACAAGGGAACTCCACAAAGAAAGAGGTTTGCATATCTGAGGTAGTTGTGACCTCCAGAACTTGCAGGTCTGGTGTCCTGACATTTCATAGAACTCAGGATTGATGGCTTGGAGAACGTTGCTCAAGAACTATAAAGATTATGTTAAGTAGCTTTGGGTAAGGAAATCCAATCTGAGGCTTGGTCTCCAACATAGCAAATGTGTTGGCAGAGAACAGGGAAGCAGCAAAGTGCACGTATCTTCAGATGGGGAAAGAGAAAGGATTATCACCAGAGACCTTGCTACCTGCCTTAGCGAGCGGCTCCTACCCGCAGAGGAAGGTGAGGCTTTCAAGCTGTATACAACGGAACTCAAACATGCATAGTACAGATCAAATCAACCGCGGTTACCAGGGGCTGTGAGGCAGGAGCACACCCGGCCCCTCCATCGCCCAACCCGCCTCAGCGAGCGCCTTCGAGCCCCCAGCAGATTGGGGGGGGGGGGGGCACGACGCGCACTACAGCTTCCAGAATGCCTTGCGCCGTCTCCTAGGAGACGCAGCGGTGTGGTTGGTGGAGGGGTCACACTCCCCCCGCCGCGCCGCGCCTCCCGTGGTGCCCCGCGCGGCATGGAGCGGCGCGTGGCGGAGCGGCTCCGCGGCGCCCTGGACCCCTTCGGCTTCGAGGTGCACGCCTTCAAGGTACTGACGTCACGGGGGGGCGCCGTGACGTCACACGCCGTGACGTTGATCGGGGAGGTGTGCTTATTCCTTGGGCCGGAGGGAAGGTGTGTGTGTGGGGGGGGGTGTTTGCTGTGGCCCCCGATGGGAGTGAGAGACCCTTTGGTTCCTTCCCGTCACTCCCGGTGGAGGTGCGGGAAGCACTGCAGCACTGCCGGCGGCCGCTTGCCCTCGGTGGGGCCGGGGCTGGCCGTGCTTGGCCGCCAGGCCCTCCAGTTCGCCCTCCAGGCCGGCCGGACGACACACCCCCCTGTGCTAACGGTGGCAGTGCCAGCCTGCTCCTCGCGCAACAGACAGCAGGCGGCACTGCCTCACCGGGCCTCAGTCACTCTCCGCTCCGTTTAGGCTTGAAGCCGTCGTCTGGTCACCCCCCCCACGGCATCGCACTCTCCTCCTCAGGCCTGGGGAGGGGATGGCGAGGGGTTCAGAGCCCTGCTGTAGGCGGTCCCGGTCTGGCACAGAGGTTCCAAGGCTCTGGAGTCGTGTTCCGCGGCGGATGGCGCGGGTTAACGTACAAGCAGGGAAGGCCTGTTCGGCCCGCGCGGTGGAGCGGGTCAAGGTTAAGGCCGTGGCTTGGCAGCGGCGGAGCGCCAGCCGGGCTCGGGGATTGCTCGGGTCCTTTATGTTGGTCCCAGTGTGATAAGGTAGAGAGAATTAAAGATACATCTGGACCAGCAGAGAGTAAAGTCCTCTAAGCAAGCTTAAACTTTAAACGTAGAAACACGTGTACTGAAAGCGCAGAGTGCCTCACCGTGGTAAGTGGCTGCTTACACGGCTCCTGAAGCAGGCAGCGTTTTCCACTGCCTCTGTGTTGAATTGTATACCCTCAGCTCCCACCAAACCTTGGGGGTTCCTTCTTTGCCCACGACAGGGGCAATCTGCAGTAAATCACTCAGTCTGCAGTAAATCAATCTGCAATATCAAATACAAATCGACAATCAAATATAAATCGGTACAATAAAGACCTTCCCTTCCTTAGGGACTGTTGTCACCTGAAATACTCGTGTATTTCCTGCTACATTCTTAATCTGACAATTGAAGGGAATGAGGCACTGAGAGCAGTGAAATCTCCAGAATCTGAAGAATTTAACAATGCTTTCCCAAAACACAGAAGCAGAATTAGGGACAGAACCCGAATCAGAAAGACTACAGCTACCAGAGGGAAACTTCATAGTGCTGTATCTTCCCAGGTTTAATTTTCATACCTCCAGCCCTGGTACACTGACCGATGTACACTGGGAAATCAGCAAACCTTAGATTCTCACCTCTGTACTTTCTTGTAACATCTTGATTCAGCATCTGAAACAAGAGCTACAAAACTCATTAAACTTTGTGTCTGATACAAGAATGTATCTTCATATTAAACTTAGTTTTCAGCCTGTGTTTCCATATGGGCAGGCCTGGTTGCCAGTGTCACCTGCAAAGTCACTTTCAGATTCATTTCAGTAGAGGTGACCAGTATTTTGTGTTTTCAGACTAAATAGTAAGAGTTCTGTTACTTGACATCTCTCTGAACATTGGTCCTGGTCTTTATGGCATCTCAGGAGAGTGGGAGTTGTCGTAACCCCTAAAAAGACTGATGTTATTGTGCAGCACATTAGTAATGGGGTGCAGGGGGATTCAGCCATTTCCTCCCCCTGCCTGGTAGTTGTTGGTCTCAGCCCTGTCCTCTTGCTCTTTCTGCTGCTCCAGTGTGATCCCTCATTTCTGGACTGTGTTGTAACACATCCAGCCCTGAAACAAACACCAAAATGTGTGTGTGTCACAATCCATGCACTACAGCTGATGGTTCTGGCAGGTTTTAGCACTGCTAAGAGCTTCATGTCCTTCATTTTCACACATCAACATTTCCTGCTGAAGAAATAAACCATGCAACTTGTCACATGAGCAGAAGTACCAGTTTCTTGCTGGCTGAAGATGTGAAAAAAAAAAACCCCAAACCCAACCCTAAAAGCTTTATCTAAACCAAAACACCTGATTTGCATTGGCAAGACTGGTTGCTGCTACTTCCCTCTAGGGTTTCTGAGCAGCAGAGCTGAATAAAGGGCAGCCTTGAGCTGAATGCAGTAGATGATTCTTATCTCTCACGCACACCTCACAAGGCAGTTTCCAGAAACTCCGAATCCATATGCAAAACAACTTGGTTTGAATGGAAGGCAGCAGACAGGCTGCATATTAGGGTTGCAAATGAAGGTGGCTACACTTCATTCTGCTTCTTTAAATTCCTGCATGCCCAGTAGCTAAAGAGTGGTGCCTCTGTTCTAATGGAGATTTGTTTTTCTTTGCCGAAGGTTGGATGGTACAATGCTGTCGTGCAGCCCGCCTTTCATCTCCCCTACCCAGATGACACACTGGCCTTCGTGGTACTCAGCGCGCCTTCAATGTTTGAAAAAGCCCTTAAACCTTTTGTGAACAAAGAACGGTTAAAAATAATCCGGGATCCTGTGGATCAGTGTGTTTCTTATCATTTGTCACGTTTGAAGGAGGTAAGAACCTGAAACACTGATTCCATTTATTATTGTTGTGTATAACTGGGTGAGTTGAGCAGTAGACAATGCCTTCCAGGCTCCTGCACATGCTCTTTAGAAGCGTAAAGCATTATTCATGATGGTAAGAGCATCCAGGCACTGTTGACCTGCTTTACTTACATATTCTGCCTCTTTGCCATTACAGCCTGTAGCTATGTAGAGTGCTTTACAGTCATAGTTTTAAAACCCAAGGCCACAAGCTGATAGGTTTCATTAGCAGGATGTCTGGAGCATTCACAGGTGCCTGATTTGCTAGCATCCAGCAAGTAGTGGCAAATCTTTTTCCATGAGCCTGGGCTGACCATTGCTTTTAATTTTCCCAGAAATTCCCTGACCAGACAGTGGACATCATGTTTGATTACGAGCTTCTGCCAAACCGAAAGCCAAAGTTCTTGGCTCAGACAGCTGCCCACGTTTCTGGAGCTGCGTATTACTACCAAAGGAAGGATGTGAAGCTTGATCCTTGGGGGGGAAAGGTGAGGCGAAAACCACAGACTGAGAGGAAGCACTAAACTGCATTCACTGAATCATTCAACTATTGTTCACTCACTAGTTCTTCCCATTGGAAAATACAAAGTCCAGATTACATATAGATGCATAAAGTGTTTCAGACAGGAATCAGAAGCTTCCAGGATTCTTCAGGGTAGTGAGGAGATTCATACATGGAGAAAAATACCTTGAGCTATGAAATCTACTTAGACAGGAGAATAGATTTCAGTGTAAAAGAAAACCTGTTGCTTGGACCATTATAAATAGAAAAAAAAAATTGCACCATACTTAATTTGTTAGATTTTCAAAAACGGTACTCTCCCCACAGTGCAGGGTGGTGTGAGCACGGGAAAATGGGAATGACATGCAGTGCTTTGAGCCACATGTTCAGGAATTCCTTTCTTCTCTGTATGGCACCCCAACAGAGGGCAAGAGTGTGAGAAGTTGCATTGCAACTTGATCCTTTGAACTCTAACCATTACTCGAGGTAAAGTAAGACATCCCAGATCCTTCTTTTTTTTCTTCCAGAAGATCTTTGGTGTATGTATCCATCCCAGGTATGGTGGCTGGTTTGCTATCCGAGGTCTTCTCCTCTTCCCAGATATTCAGGTACCATTCCTGGAGCAGCATGCCCCTGTTGACTGTGTGAGCACAGAGGAGCAAAGAATTGAGTTGCTGGAGCAATTCAATTTCCACTGGCAGGACACTCGCTACCGGGACATAATTGAAGTGAGGGAAAAGTATTCAGAGGAGCAGAAAACCTACTTTGCCACCCCTCCAGCGGAGAGATTCAAACTGCTAGGGCTGACCCAAGAAGTCCACAGAAGCATATTTCACTGAGTAACAAGGTTCTATGAAGGGACAGAGGGCAAGTGAAGTGTAACTCATCAGCACCTTCTTTTCCATGGTGCTGATGAGGACAGTGTGCTGATACAGAGGTGGCAAATCCAAGGAGTGTGTGCAGTGTCTCAATCCAAACATCAGCTCCTCAGAGTAAGAGGGACCGCTGCATTTTGGCACTTGTGGTCTGGAGGAAGGTGGGAGCAGTCTGTGCTGTTGCTGATTTGCTGTGTCTTTTTGGAGTCTGGCAAGATGCTGATGAGCCATTGGTTGGGAAAAGTTCAGCCATCCTGGCAGCTGGAAAACTCATGCTGCTCAATGGAGAAGTCATTTTTATTCTGAAGAATTTTCTTTCCAAATGTTTTAGGTTTATTCTGTGTACAAGTAAAATTTCAATCATTGTACTCCAGAATATTTCACCTGATCTCAGGGCAGGTATTCTTTTAGACGTATCCTGCATTTTATTACCCTGTGTCATAACTCTCCTTAGCGAGTAAGTGTCCAGTATTTTCAATATTGCCTTCCTCAGAAGGAAAATTACGCTGAATTCCTTCACTTCCAGTGAAGCTGGCTGAACTTAAGTAAGAACTCTTTTAATGTCTCCTTTCCTTAACATCCAAAAGAAAATTCTCCAGAGATTGTTTTGTTGAGTAGCGTGGTCGTGCACATGGAGCAGGAGTAAGGAAAACAGAGCCGACAGCTACCTCCTTCAGGGTAGTTACAAAAGGGAACAGGACAGTACGAAGGTCACAGCTCAAACCTGCCATTTCCTCTTGGCCCAGGGTCAGCTCCTCAGAGCAAGGTGATGTCTTTAGGTCAATTTTAATCCATTGTATAGAGCAGCCAACTAACATCTTCAGCAAGATGCTGAGTGTTGGTTTTATTCATGTTACAATAACTGACTAAAAAAGGCAATTCTAATGACCTTTTCCTAAGGTAGATGAGGTTTGCATTTAAGGTACAAGCTACACACACTACAGTTTTACTACCATGGCTTCCCGTTGTACTTTCTGTATGAGGGAGGTAAACCTGCACACACATAAAAACCATTGCATGAATGTTTGCATGTGTGACAGGTTTGCCTGTCATGCACACAGGCAAACAAGCAGAGAGAAGAAAAAATATTCATGACATTCATGTGACATATTGCTGGGTAAAATACTTTCAGACAGCAACATAATTTTTATTCATTATTTTCTCCTGTTAGATTTGTCCAGAGGTTACAACGTCACTGGGAATCAGCAATTTAATTTATCTGAGGGTACTTTGAGGCTCGGGCCTCACTGAAATAATATCATAAATAGTATTTTGTGAGAGTTTTGTTACTTGACTAGAGTACAGTGCTGCAAACTCTAAGCACTTTTCCTCTGCCTATCAACATGATGAAGTAAAAATACACTCTTTGCAGAACTGAGCCCTTTCGTTTTATTTAACATTGTTAGTCTTGCTGCCTTTTGGAGACTCAAACACTAAGATGGCCTTCACACTAAGTCACTGCTTGATACACTTTTTCATAGTCTGAATATTAACTAAGCACAATCAAAATTCAGTGTAATAAGTTTGTTTTCCTGTAAACAGAGTAGTGAACTGGGTTTGTTCAGTGTATTTGCTGTTACAGAAACATCTCTGTTGGTTTCCATGCTTTGTTCACCACGTCTGACTAAGGCAGACACCTTATTTACTGTACGGTAGTGATACTGTGATTTTTTATTTAAGCAAGATAAGGAAATCTGTATAAATTCTGTTCTTATGTTATAGAATTACTTCTGGTTAAAATGTTGCTTGACCTTTCAGACCTTTCCTATTGAACTGTAATTAAACAGGGAGTTGAATTAATGGTTCATATTAATAACATATACAAAACACTGATTCTCTTAGAAAGATAAATATAGAAAGGAATCAAATTTATCTTTTTACATTTCAATTTAAAGTAAGATATTTTGCTATTTTGGGGTTGATTTCTTACAAATATTTAAGTCTGTCTTATTTTTTTTTAATCAGATTGCCATTGCATTTCAATTTTTGTATTTATTTCTCTTCACATGGTATTTTGGTTAATAAAATATACAAAGTTGTAATTAACTCTGTGTTACTGAGTATTTTTATTTAAACAATGCAGTGATTAACTTGTGGAGAGCTAAAGATTAAGCGAGAATCAATTATTAAGTTTTTAATGTACTGAAAACGTGAGCTACCTAAGACACACAAAATCCAGTACCTGAAAACAAAAGAAAAAGTTATGCTGAGAAAGTTGAGGCTGTTCAGCCTGGAGAAGAGAAGGCTGCATGGAGACCTCATAGCAGCCTTCCAGTATCTGAAGGGGGCCTATAGGGATGCTGGGGAGGGACTCTTCATTAGGGACTGTAGTGATAGGACTGTAGTGATAGGAATGGTTTACAACTTAAACAGGGGAAGTTTAGACTGGATATAAGGAGGAAATTCTTTACTGTGAGGGTGGTGAGACCCTGGAATAGGTTGCCCAAGGAGGTTGTGAATGCTCCATCCCTGGCAGTGTTCAAGGCCAGGTTGGACGAGGCCTTGGGTGATATGGTTTAGAGCGAGGTGTCCCTGCCCATGGCAGGAGGGTTGGAACTTGATGATCTTAAGGTCCTTTCCAACCCAAACTATTCTATGATTCTATGACATTGGGTTTTGTTTTGTTTTTTTTCAGGGCTAGATTGTTCTCTGGGTCAGAAGCATAATTTTACTCATTCAGTATAATATATGTGGTCTTTTATTCATTTGTGAACAAAATTATTGGTGGTGTAACTACTATTTAACATAGGTTAAATTATTGAAAATGCAGTGTTGTGAATTTGATTATAAAGAAAAAAGGAGTGAAGACTTCTGTATTTCTAAAACCAAGAGGTGGCAGATACTGTTCAGCACCTCTGGTTATAAGCACTCTTTGTTCAGCCCCATGCAAAGAATACATGTAACAAGTTACCTCTGAATACTGACATAAGCGTTAAGAGCTGCAAAGTTGGTCTTCTAAGGGGAAGTGAGATTTGTCATCTATTGCAGCAGAGAGCCAGCTGCCCCTCTGCAACCTCAACTGTCACTAATTCATCTACCAAAACGGACATGGGTATTAATGAGACTTTTCTTGCTGTGAAGTTGGCTTCATGTTATATCATATGTCCTGTGAGAGATCATCCATCATGTTTGCTTCAGATCACTTCCCTTCTAGATCTTCAAGGAGGAAACAGAAATGACCACGGAACACAAACATACTTTTCTCTCTGTTACTGAGACAACAGACAGATGTTCACATTTCTTAGAAAAAACAGTAATTTAGATGAAAAAATAGGTGCTACTTTTTTTTTTTTTCCAAAGAACTGAAACACAGTAATGGGAAATATGGTGGGAAACTTCAAAAAATAAAATGTTATCACAGAATAAGCAATAAGATATTTTAGTGGAATTTTAAAATTTCTCCACTACTCTACCACACTCTGCAAAATGTAATTATTTATGTATAAATTATTTATGTATAAAAGTAGCCATTGGAATGGCTACTTCCTGGAAAAAAAAAAATCAAACACATAACTATCATTCATGAATATTACATCTATAAAACATTTCTTATTTTATTTTTGTTGATGTTTGTACACAATTCAGTGAGCAAGCAAATTTATTTTTAATAACTCCATATGTTTTATTTCCCCCAAACAGTTCCTACAGGATATTTTGAAGGAGAGCTTGAATTTTTTCTGGGTTTTGAGACAGGAGGATTCCTGCAAGTAGATTAAAGACAGGATGGATTTGGGGGGGTTGAAAAATATCCTACAGAATCTTAAATTTATGCAGATACCTTACTTTTTCTATGAATGCATAAAACCTCTTATTCCTTGTAAAGGAATTAGCTAGTTTTAGGTTTTAATTTCATGTCGTAACCATTTTTCCAGTACTGTTCTGACCAGCCAATCTTTTTTTTTAACAGGCTTTTTTGCAAAAATATAAGACTACAGCAATAAAAATGACAAAGAAAATCACCTTATTTTTGTGAACACTAAATTTCATGGAATACAGTAATTTTTAATTACATTGTTTTAATAAGTGTAGTTTAAAGATTTTTCTCTCGATGAAGGATATCACTCTTCTTTGTCAGTGCAGATACTTCAAAAGTATGGTGCTTTAGAACATGGAACACAAAAGTGCTGAGCTCACAGTTTCAGAGGACAGCGCAATCTTAGTGACTTCACATATATTTGTATATCTATGGTCAAGTGGTATCTCGCACAGGAAGACTAAATTGAGACACGTGTCCTGTAATACACACAATGATTTAAGTTTCAGTTGAAAGAGCCAAGTTTCACATTAAAGTCCAAAGCTATCATCACTAGGTGTGGTGAGAGGAGCTTACACAGGCACATCTCCTGTTCTAGAGCACTGCAAACAACTTACAGCACGATGGCAACCTGTTCTCTGCAGCCACGTAAGCATGTGCAGCATAGATTAGTTCATTATGCAGGCGTTTGCTTTGTACAGGCTTTGGCCTGCAAAGCCATGCTGTAATACCATACTCCCATGTTCTGTGACGTGTTTGAATTACACCAATGTTACAGGTGAAGACACTGACTAATGACTTGACAGAAACACAGACATGTGAACAGCCAAAGTAAAATCAGTTCTAGCTGTATGTTAAATGCAAGTAATTTTTTGTCTTCTAGTGTTAAAAATAGCTTATATATTACTGATCAAAATGATACCTATTTCTTTGTTTGCCTAGTTCATTGTTCTGTGTGTACGATTAATTTGTATCAAAAAAAGACACTGACAGCTTTAACACACTTTCTGAATTGATATACAAGTGTAATGTGTTCCTACTAGTACAGGCTGGACAGAACCCCTAGCCCACAGCCTCACACCACTCTTCTGCCGTTGCTTCATTTCACCCTTTGCAAAGCAGAACCATGATGTTTCTGTCGTGAGCCCTCTATGCTTTATCTGTCTAGCAAGATCCTTCGGAATTACACAGTTTGTCCTCTAATACTGAACACCAAACCCACTGAAAATTTCAGAGGATATACGTAATATTTTTCCAATTATTAATATGATAAACCCCGTTACTTTACCAAAATCTTTACATGACTGTTGCTTTGACGTGTAACATTACAAAAAAGTACAGCCATGGCGCTTTTATCAACATGCTTTCCTAACCAAAGTGCATCATTTTGCAATACCTGCTAAGTGTATCTACTTGCTTTTGTTCTTTGAACTGTATTGATCTGTTGGGTAATCCAACTTGTTCTTCAAAGGCCCACTCAAAAGGCTGAAGCACTTAATAAAATAGTACTTTTTAAATTTAGTAACATTTTAGAGTATTTTTCAAAGCCAGTGATAAACCTGGTTTGTAAGTGTTAATTGTTTAAACATTACTAAGCATTCCTGTTCTTATAAACATCTAGAAATAAATACACAATCATTAATTTTGAAATAGCATTGTGCTGGTTTTGACTGGGATAGAGTTAATTTTCTTCATAGCAGCTGGCATGGGGCTGTTTTAGATTTGTGCTGGAAACAGTGGATAACACAGGGATGTTTTTGTTAAGTGCTGAGCAGTGCTTACAGAATCAAAACTTTTTCTGCTCCTCACCCTATGAGTGAGTAGGCTGGGGGTGCACAAGAAGGGATCCACACTGGAGCATTCTGTTCCTGAAGGACTGCACCCATAGAAAGCACCCACACTAGAGCAGTTTGTGAAGAGCTGCAGGATGGACTCATGTTGGAGAAGTTTGTAAAGAACTGGCTCCTGGGATAGGGACCCCACACTGGAGCAGGGGAAGAGTGTGAGGAGTCTTCCCCTTGATGGAGAAAGGAGCCATTCCCTATTCCTTGGTGCTGGTGGAGGGGAGAAAAGGCAAAGAATTCAGGAGTAAAGTTAAACCTGAGAAGAAGGGAGGGGTGCAGAGAACATGTCTTAACATTATGTTTTTATTTCTCATTATCCTACCCTGATTTGATTGGTAATAAATTAAGCTATTTCTTCCCCCCCAAGATGAGTGTTTTGCCTGTGAAAATGTATGAATAATCTTCCCCTGTCCTTTTCCAAAACAAATAATTTTTCAGAGATTATCTTAAGACTGAAACTTCATATGCTTGTAAAATTTTCCCATGCTTGTAAAACGTTCTTTAGCAAAGCAGCAAGCCAATTTTACAACCCCCCAGTAATCACAGCAATCAGCTACAAATAAAGACAACTACAAAAGAGACACTGTAAGACATATTTGTTTCCCATCACCTGACTGTTCTGAGTAAGATACAAAGAAATCAATGAATACAAGGTTGTATTTATAATAAGCAGCCAAAATGGGAAATAAAAAAGATGAAATTACTCACACATTAAGAAAAGGCAAACATGAGACTCAAGATACTGTCCTTTCTAAATAGCATCTGCTGTGTACACCTTCAGGGAAAATCCCAGTAAGCAGGACAGGACACTGTAACACCTATCTGTCTTGCTACCAAAACTGAATGTTGCTCATGTGTTTTTACTGGGAAATATGACACCATTGATCATGAAATCAAAA